AATATCCATAAAACACTTCATATTTAACACCAATCTACCAACATCCCAACTTCAAATCACCCTCTATTACCCATAAAATCCACAACCCACATCCAATAAAATATCCATCTCCAAATATTTATCAAACCATATCCAACAAAAACACTTCCCAATTTTCACTAACACAAAAAATAAAAAAAAAAAAAAAACATTTTCCCATATACAATACACTACCTAAAACCTCCAAAAAATTTAAAAAATAAAAATTACACAATATCAAAATCCTCCTCCTCACACACTCACTATCCTCACCTCAATTACCCAATATATTAACATTCATATCTCCATTCATCAACTCCCACCTTTTACCCTCAATAACCTAATCTCCACTACTTTCAATCAAACCCTCCACCATTTCTTATAACCCATTCCCATCCCATACACTTCATAAACCCCAAACATTCTAATAACACAATCTAAGATATAGAGATATCTCATAACACAATTACACATTTATTTCACTCATAAACCACAAAAACTAACACCACATCTACCTACCACCATCCAAATAAAAACAACCCTCCACAACCCCACCCATAAAACCACCATAACCCTATAAAATCTACTAACACCCCATCAAATCCTAACTACATCAACACTAAAAAACACATAAACCACTTTCACACACCAAACACAAATCATCCTAACCTATCCTACTTAATAAAATAAAACCAACAATCCCTAAATCACAAACCAACCACAAAACCCCCCCAAACTAAATCCAAAAATCAAACACAACCCAAAACACACAAACCAAAACACCACACCCCCCACAACCAAATTAAACATACCCAAACAACAACCACACTAAACAACACCCCACACCAAACACCCCTTCACATCATATAATAACATCCCACTATAACACCCAATAAAACCAACCTCCCACTCCCCCAAACATAAATCCAAAACAAATCCACTCTCTTCTAAAAATACCTAATTACCCACCATCTTTTATTTCATTCCACATTACCACCTCTACCAAAACAAATTAAAAAACCACAAACCCCATATATCCCCTTCCCTAAAACAAACCACCATCCTCACAAACATAAAACATACACACCCATACAAACTCCTAATATCCCAAAAAAAACACAACTCCCCAAAAACATTTTAATTATAAAACATATTTAACTTAAATTCTTCCATCTAAATTACTAATAATACAAAAATACCAATAACTTCTCAAACAAAAAAAAACACTCTACTACCCCAAATATCACAAAACACAACCCAACCATATCCCCTCCTCAAAACAAAACCAACCTAAACCATAACTCCCCATTACTCCCACATAAAAACTTTACAAACAAAAAAACAAAAAAACCTAAAACAACCCCCTATCAACAAACCATTAAATTTTTTTTAAATAAACATACCACAAATATTTCAAACAATTCAAACCTAATCTTCCAAATAACACTACCTTTACATACTCATTACCCATTTACAAATTATAAACCCCCATATCCCCCCACACAAATACCAATACAAATAAAACAAAAAAAAACACCCAAAATAAACATAAAACCAAAAAAAACTAACCTATACAAACTAAAACACTAACACAAAACCACTAAACAATCCAATAAAACCCACAATATACCATCACACCCTAATTCAAAAACCAACCCAAACAATACAACCAAAAAAACAACAACACAATCAACAACCACAAACCTATCCCCCACACAAACACAACCCCCCATTCCTTCACCCTCCTATTCCCTCACATCTCTAACACAAAAATTACAAATACCAACAAAAACCACAAATACCCCCATAACAAAAAAAAAAAATACATATCTCCCTCATTCTTCACACCCCCCCCTCTCCAACCACCCTCTCAAAAAAAAAAATCAACACATAATCTCTTCAATAAATTAAATTAAAACAAATATAATATACTCAAACCTTATAAATAACACACCCCATCCTATATCACATCTATCCAAAACATCACCCCAAACCACCTTTTAACAATAATTTTCATTAACACCCAAAATCAAAAATAATCCTATTTACAAAATACACAACATTATCATAATCAAAATCAAAACACCACACAACCACACCCCCAAACCACAACAAAAACAACACCAACAACAACACCTACCCACATTAAATAAAACTACCAAAAAAACAAAAACACACCTAAACAAACCCCCCCCACACAAACCACACCCCTCAACCATCCCCAATCATTCACTATTTTCACCACCCCTTTCCCCTAATCCCAAACAAAAATTTCCAAAAACCCCTCCCCAAAATTTCCACATCAAATCCCAAACATATATAAAACCACTCCCCACCATAACTAATCCCTCATTCTCATCCCACCCTCATAAACCATTAACCCCCCACCTAACACCAATTCAAACCTCATTTCATAACCCCCCACCTCCCCACCCAATCACTCCCTTAAACATCATTAAAAATACCAAAAAACACCCCAACAATCTGAGAGATATCCCCCATTAAATTAACATCTAAAACACAATTAATCAAACATCAACACAAATAAATAAAATATCCCCCACCACTAACAAACACCCCATATCAACCCACAATACCCCTATCCCTAAATACCACACCTATAACCACCCACCCTCTTTCACACTTCCCAATATAAACCTAAACCACCAAAATAAAATCCAAAACCCTTCCTATATTAAATTCACCATCCCCCACCCAACACAAATCAACATCCACCACCAAAAATTAAAATACCAGAAATATCAAAATAAATCACATCCCCCAAATACCCATAAATATTACACTAACTTTTTCCTTACTTCTTTAACTAAAATTTTACCAAACCCTTAGATATAATCCACATATAACAACCCAACACATACTTAAATCCATTTAAAATATATATTAAAACATACAAATATTTCTTAATATTACTATATAAAATCTCTTTCTTCCACTCAACAATAAACACAAATTTAACCCCCCACATTCAATAACCACCCAAATATCCTCCACCTCCATCACCAAACTCACAACCAAAAACAAATGTTCTAAAAAAAAAAAAAACATCCTCTCACCCCAATATCCCAACCTTCCAATATATATTAACTACCAATACCCTTATCTAACAAAATATATTTTAAAACAAAACCTTAAACCTCTCTAACACAAACCAAAAAACACATATATAAAATCAACCAATTACTCCAAAACACAAATCCCAAATTAAAACATACCAATTCCACAAACATTCTACAACCCTCCAAAAAATATCATACATCAACCCAAAAACTAAAACAATTCAAACAACCCATCCCCATAATAAACAAAATAAAAACAAAAACAAAAAAAAACCAAAAACCCAACAAACCACCCAACTACCACCCCAACAACCCACAAAACTCCAATAACCACAACTATCTCAACATCTCCAACCACTCCAATAAATACCCACCAAACAAAAATTCCAAACATCCTAAAAAATAATTTCCTCAAAAACACAAACCAACTTTCAAAAATAAATCTCCAACAATAAACAAACAACCTAAAACAAACCCCACCCATAACATACACAATTTAAACTCACAATTCCCTCACCCAACCCAACCAAAAAAAACCTTCCCACCACCCACCTAACACATCCCACCATACAACATCCCTTAATCAATATACCATATCAACCTCCCATACACCCCTTACCCCCCCCCCCCATCACAACCATATACTCAAACTCCAAATCTCAAATCCACCACCATTTACCCTAACACACCCCTCAAAAAAATCAATCACCGTACCCTAAATAATCTTAAATATCATAACCAAACCAAAATAATCACAAAACAACCCATTTCACACCAAATTACACCCATCTACTAATCTTAAACAAAAAAACCCCAAAAAAAAAAAACAAAAAAAAAAAAACCTTTCAACTTATCACCCTATTATTAACACCCTCACAACTAATTATCCCAATCTCCCACCCAACATAAACCCATAATCTTATTCTAACCCCTCAACCCCCTCCATAAAATAACATAAACACTACTATTATCACCCTCACCACCCTAATCTCCTAATCCATTTCCATATTAACCTAAATAATCACAAAATAAACACTCCATCTCTCTTCCCATAAATTCTAATCCAACATTAAACAAAAAAACCCCCATCCCATAGATATAGAGAACAACATAAAAAATTCCACCAACCCAAATATCATAATTAAAACCAAAAAACACCACCCAATCCTCCAACACTCCCAACTCAACCATACTATATACTCATCACATCTAAAAAAAAAACAAAACATAAACATATATTCCTATTAACTACTAATACCCATCCAATTAATCAATATTCACACTTTACCCATATTACAAATACAATACATAAAAACAACCAATCATATATATATATATATATAGGACATTAATATCCACTATATCCCAAACAATCTACTATCAACTCTATTATTTTACTTTCAACATTAATCTTAAACATTTTTAACTTCCCATATATTAACCTTAAACCCACCCACACCCACACACCCACAAAAACCAAACTTAAATCACCCACCCTAAACCCCCCTAAAACTAAATAACCCCCCCCCCATCTACCCAACCCTCCCCCCCCCCAAACAACAACACACACCCCACATTACACCCCCCCCTCCCCACACTACACACTACCAACTAACCACACTAACCCCCCACCCCCTCTCAATTTCAATTCTCCTCATACCTTATCCTCCTTCACTTCTCAATCCTTTCTTCTTTATTCCTTCCCCTCCCCTACTTCTTTATTTTCCTCCCCCCTACTCACTCCACTCCCCCTATTCTCTCTTCTTTATCCCTTACCTCTACCTCCTCCACCTCTCCATCAACTATCTCATTTAACTCTTCCCACCTTTCCACCCCACCCCACAACACTCATACTCAACCCACCCATAATCCAACCCTCCCCCATTCTATACACATCACTCACTACACCCTACTACCCTTTAATCCCCCCAACCCAAACCTCTCACACCACACTCCCACTCCCACCACCCCACCCCCCCCCAAATCATATACACCCCCCCCCCACTCAATACCCACCCCCACCAACCACCAACCACCAAACACCCCCTACAACCCCTTAAAATATAAATCTATCAAAACCAACAAATCCTAAAATTTTCTAAATCTCATAACTATCTTTTTTATATATTCCACATCACTCTAATCTATATTATACATCATAATTTTCATTAACTTCTAATTTTCTTATTTCTTTATTTACTTAACATTCACCCCTCCCCAATCCCTCACTCCTTTCCTCCCAACACACAACCCAACCCACCACCCCACTCAATCCCCCCCTTTTCACCATCAATTCAAAACCCCTCATACTATATTACTCAATACATCTTTCTATTATTAAAATCCTACCAATACCAATACCTCAAAAAAAACACCTACTCTTAAAGATATATAGAGATATAGATACCATCTCATTATCCACCCCTCACAATAATAAAAATCCCCCTCTCTCCATCTTAATACCACATATCAAAAAAACCAACACCCCACAAAAATAACAAAACCACATAAACAACCACCCAACAAACTACCCACAACAACAACAATCTAACAAAAACAAACACAAACCCCAAATCACATATCTAAACCAACACCCTAAACACAAATTTCACTTCTCATCCCAACCCCCACTAAAACATACTTAATCTACATCATCCCTAAAAATCCCATTCAACACTAAACCCCCTCTAACAACCTTAAACCAAAACACCTCAATAAATCATTCATCCATTCTAAACCATAAAACACAAACCAAAACCAACCCCAAATAAAACAACACACAATCACCATACCTAAACCCCAAACAAACACCCCATCTATTTTTCCCCAAAAACAAAACATACATCACTAACAAACCCAACACAACCATCATAAAAACCCAACCTCATAACCCCAAATAATTCCTCTTTATTTTATAATACAACTATCACCACCCCTCCATATATTAACAAATAAATTTTTCCCCCACCTCCTCCATTATTCATATCTATTATTATCCATCCACTTACCCTCCTATAAAACCAATCTACCTATCATATAAACTAAAACATTACTCCTCCCAACATCTCCAACCCCTCCCCCAAACACACCCAAATACAAAAACAATCATCACAAATAAATACAAACATATACTAAAATAAACTAACAAACAAAAGAGAATAACACCATATACCACCACAAAAAACAAAACACATACAAAAATAAATTATACAAAATAATTAAAACAAAACCTCTTACAAACTTCTCCCCCACAAATAACTAAACAAATAACAAAAATAAAAAAATCAAACTAAATATAACTCCCACCAAAAAAAACAAAAACAAATAATACTAAAACATAACTACAACACAATTATTCTATTTCTCTCCCCACAATTCTTTCAAAACAAATAACAACACAATAAAAACAACAAACAAAAATAAAAAACAACAATAAAAAAACCAACATCTTATCCCAACCCAACAACCCAAAACCACACCAAATAACATACAAAAAAAACCCCAACCAACCCCAACAAACACAAAAACCACAAACACCAAAACAAAACAAAAACTACCAACACAAAAACAACAAAAATCATTCAAAAACAATAAAAACTCCCCAACTCAAACCCAAACCAACACAACAAAACAAAACAAACAACTCCACACACCCAATACACCAAACACCAACACAACAAACCAACACCACCAACTCAAAACAACAAAATACACCCTACAACTAAACACTCCATTAACAATCAAACAAAAACATCCCCAACAAATCCCCCCATTCACAACCACCCAACAAACTAAAATATATATATTCCAAATACCCCCTACAAACCCCCACTAACTCAAATCCCCCCTCCAATTTTTAATTATAAATATTAAAAGATAATTAATACTCACCCCCACCCCCCACCTTACCTATATCCCCCAAAATACAAATCACCAATAACCCAACACACCCATTAAACCATATCACTCAACACCATACATACTATCAAACCAACACCCCCACCATAAACAACAACACCAAAACATCAACCACCACCAACCAACAACAACAACCCAAACACCAACCCACAAACACAAAACACCAAACACAAAAACAAACCAACTCAAAACCCTAACACAACATCAACACCAACAACCAAACAAACCAATACCCACAAAAATCACCAAAAACAAATTCATCCCCATACCCACAAAACAAAAAACCACTTCCATACAAACCACACCCCCAAAACCCCCAAAAACAACAAAAACAATCCAAAAACACCCAAAAAACTATCTCTCCCCCAACCCACCCCCACACACCCCCCCCCCCACCCCTAAATAACAAAAAATATAACCCCTCTAACAACCCCACCATCCACACAACAACACAACACCAACAAACCCCAAAACAACCAACCCAAACACAACAAACCAACCCCACCAAACCCCAAAACAACTTTAATAAAAATACAATATATCATAAAAATAAATAACAAAACATTCCTCCCAAATAAAAAAAAACCTCATTAAACCAACTAAATCTTTACCACCTAACATAATAAACCACCATTAAAATCACCCCTCAACCTAATTATAAAAACTCAAATAAAACAACCCAATTACCCTACCCCCCCTAAACCAACACTACAAACATAACCCAATACAAAACAACAAAAAATTACCCAACACCCCACCTCACCATCTCTTCTCAAACTTAAACTTATCTTCTTCACAACCCCCTCTACACTACATACCATCCCTAAACCACATAATCTACTTCTTACAAAACCATATCAATATATCCACCCCCCCCACCCTCAAAAACCCCAATCAATCACAATCCACCCAAATCCCCCAATCACTCATAATATCCATCCTAATAAATACAACCCCCCTAACTAACCAAATTCAATAAAATCCATAATCATCCTCAAACAACCAATCTATCATCTCACACCAAACCCCTAACAACCACCATCAAATAAAAATAATCACACCCTCCCCTCCCACAAAAAACATCCAAAAACATAACACATACCATTCCCCACCCACACCCCAACTCACTCACACCAACCAAAAAAACCACTTTCCATACCCAACACATAACCCACCCCCCCCCAATACAACCAAACCTAACTACTCATTAACAATATTACCTTATCAATACACCACCAATCCCTAACAAAACCCAAACCACCATTTAATCCACACCCCCCTACTCATTCTATAAAAAAATTACACCTAACATCAATAACACAAACACCCTACTAAATCAAAATTCAAACCTTCTTTCTTTACTTCTAATCTCACAAACTCAATACTCCAATATCAAAAACACACCCCCATCATATCCAAAAAAAAAAAACAACCCCCCATCAACCCTCCATCAATACAAAAACCAAAAAAAATAGATAGATATATAGATATATACCCCCCCTTTCCCCACATTAAAATCTATCAATATCCATCTAAACCCCAAACCCCCCCAACAAACAATACAAAACACAACAAACAACAAAATCATTAAAATTCCCAAAAACCCACACTCCCCCCAATAAAAACATATAAACCATCCCAACACAAACCAACCAAATCCCCTACCAAACCAAAAAAACAAAATCCCAAACCTTCTTATTCAAATTCACCCACCTCCCACACACCTCTAACCCCCCAACACAAACCACAAATACCAACCCCACCACATACAAAAAAACCACACTGTCAGAGATACATCCACAACCACAAACCCACAAATAACCATCCCCCAACACCAACCCCAACCCCCCCCACCCACAAACCCATCCAACCCCACACCCACACCCACAACAACCAACAACCCAACCCCCCACCCCCCCCCAAACACCACCACACCCCCACAACACAACACCCCAACACCACTCCCCACCCAAACAACCCCACACAAACCCCCCACCCCCCACCCCCCACCCCACCCCCCACAACCACCCACACCCCCAACCCCCCCCAACCCCACCCCAACCCCCCCCACCCCAAAACACAACCCACCCAACCCACCACCCAACCACCCCCACACCCCCCCCCCCCACACAACACTCACTACCCCCCCCCCCCCCCCCCCCCCCCACACACCCACCACCCCCACACCACCCCCCCCCCCCCCACCACCAACCCCCACACCCCCACCATCCCACCCACCCACTCCCCAAACCACACAACACTACCCAACACACCCCCCACCAAACCCAACCCAACCCACCCCCCAACCCCTACCCACCCCCACAAACACCCCCACCCACCCAACCCCCAACCCACCCACCCACACCCAACCCCCACCCCCCAACAAACCCCCCCCCCCCCCCCCCCCAAACACAAACCCCCCCCACCAACACCACACAACCCCACCAACCAAACCCACACCCACCCCACCACCCCCAACACAACCCCCAACCCAACCACAACCCCCCACACCACCAACCCAAAACACCCCAACACCCCCCACCCCCCCCCACCACCCCCACCCCCCAACCCCCCACCCACCCCAACCACCACAAACCCCCCCCCCCACCCCCAAACCCAACCACCCACAAACCCCCCCCACACCCACCCACCCCCCACCCCACCCCCCACCCCCCCCCCCCACCCCCAAACACCCCCCCCCCCCCCCCCCCCACACCAACAACCCCACCCCCCCAACCAACACCCATCCCCCCCCCCCCCCCAACCCCCCCAAAACCACCCCCAACCCCCCCCACCCCCAAAACCCCCCAAAAAACCCCCCCCCCACCCCCCCCCCCCCACCCCCCCACAACAACACCACAACACCCCCCCACACACCCACCCCACCCCCAACCCCCAAACAAACACCCACACAACCACCCCCCCCAACCACCCCCACCCCCCCCACCCCCCACCCACACCACCCAACCCCCCCACCCCCCCCCACACCCACACCCCACCCACCACCCACCCCCCCCCCCCCCCCCACACACCCACCCACCCAAACCCCAACAAAAAACACCCACACACCCCCCCACACACAAAACCACACACCCAACCACCCACCCCCCCACACCACCACCCCCCACCCCCCCCCCCCCCACAACCCACACCCCCCCCCCCACCCAAAAACCCACACCCCACCCCCCCCACAAACACCACCCCCCCCACCACCCACACCCCCCCCCCCCCCCCACCCCCCCCAACCACACCCCACCCCCACCCCCCACAACCCCCCACCCACAACCACCAACAACCCCCACCTCCCCCCACACCCCACACCCACACCACACCCCCCCCCAACCAACCCCACCACCCCCACAAAAAAACACACCAAAAAAAAAACACCAACACACCCCCCACCACCACCCCCAAACCACCCACCACCCCCCCCCCCCACCCCCCCCCACCCCCACAAAACACCCCCCAACAACACCCCACCCCCCCCCCCCCCCCCCCCCCCCACCCCACCAACCCACCCCCCCCCCCACACCCCACCAACCCCAACCCAACCACCCCAACACCAACCCCCCCCCACACAACCAACACCCCCCCCACCCCCCCACACCCCCCCCCACCCCAACACCACCCACACCCACCCCCCCACAACACCACCCACCCCCCCCCCCACCACCCCCACACACACACACACACTCACCCACAAACCCACACACACAACACACACAAAACCAAAAACCAACCCCCACCCCCCCCCCAAACCCAACAACCCCACACAACCCACACCCACACCAACCCCCACCCCACCCCCCCACCCCCCCCCCACCCCCCCCCACCCAACCCCCACCCCCACACCCCCCCACCCCACCCCCCACCACCCCCCCACACACACCCCCCCCCCCCACACCCAAACCAACCACAACCCCCCCCCCACCCCACACCACCCCACACCCCCCACACCACCACCCCACCACAACACCACCCCCCACACCACCCCCCCCCCCACCACCCACCCACACCCCCCCCCCAACCCACCACACCACCCCCACCCCCCCCCCCACAACCCCCCCACACCCAACCACCCCCCCCCCCCCACCACCCCAACCCCCACACCCCACACACCCCCCCCACACCCCACCCCCCCCACACCCCCCCACCCCCCCCCCCCACCCCCCCCCCCACCACCCCCCCCCCCACCCCCCCCCCCCCACTCATCTCACTCACCACACCACCCAACCCCCCCAACAACCACCACCACCCCCCCCCCAACCCACCAACCCCACCAATCCCACACACCAACCCCCCCCCCCACACCCACCCCCCACCACACAAAAACCCCCCACCCCACCCACACCAAAAAAACAACCACACACACCCCCCCCCCCCCCAACCCCACACACACACCCACCCACACCCCCCAACCCCAACCCCCCACCCCCACCCCCCCCCAAACCCCCCACCCCCCCACACCAACACACACAACACCACAACAACCCCCAACACCCCCCCCCACCCCCAACACCACCCACCACACACCCATCACTTCATCTCACACACCCCCACCCCCCCCCCCCCCCCCACCCCCAACCCCACAACACACCCCCCAACCCACACCAAACCCCCCCCAACCACACCACCCACCACCCCCAACCCCCCCACCCACCCAACCAAACAAACCCACAACACACCCAACACCCACACCCCCACCAACACCCCCCCACACCCACCCAACACCCCCCCCCCCCACACCACCACACCCCCCACCACCCCCCCCACCACAACACCCCCAAACCCCACCCAACCCACCCCCCCACACCACCCCCACCCCCCACCAACCCCCCCCCAAACCCAACCCCACCCACAACCCCCCAACCACCCAAAAACCACACACACACCCAACCCCCACACCACCACCCCCCCCCCACCCCCCACACTCACACACACACCCACCAAACCCCCCACCACCCCACCCCCCCCCCCCCCCCCCACACCCCACCCCCAACAAACAAAAACAACAAAACAAACCAAACCCCACCACCCCCACCCCCACAACAACCCCCCCCCCCCCACCACCCCCCCCCCACCCCCCCCCCCCCACCCCACTCACACACACACCCCCACCCCCCCCCCAACACCCCCCACCCCCCCACACCCCCCACACCAACCCCCCCCCCACCCCCCCCCCCCCCCCCCCCCCCCCCCCCACACACCCCCCCCCCCCCCCCCCAAACACCCCACCCCCACCCCCCCCCCCCCACCCCACACCACCCCCACCACCCAACCCCACACCCAACCCCCACCCCCACCCCCACCCCCCCACCCACCCACCCCCCACCACCCACCCACCCCCCCCACCCCCCCACCACCCCAAACCCCACCCACCCCCCACCCCACACCCCCACCCCCCACCCCCACCCACCCAACACCCACCAACCCCAACCCCCCCAAACCACCAAAACCAACCCCCACCCCCCCACACACTACACACACCCCCACCCACCCCACCCCCCCACCCCACCACAACCCCCCCCCCCACCCCCCACCCACCCCCCCCAACAAACCACACACCCCCCCACACAACCAAACCCACACACCCCCCCCCACCCCCCCCCCCCCCCAAACCCCCCACCCCCCCCCCACACACCCACCCCCCCCAAACCCCCACACACACTCACTCACCCCCACCCCACACAACCCCAACCACAAACCACCAACCCACAACAACACCCCCACAACAACCACCACCACCAACCACCCCCCAAAACCCCCCCCCCCCCAAAACCCCCCCCCCCCCCCACCCCCCCCCCCCCCACACAACAACCCAAACAACCCCAAACCCCCCCCCCCCAACCCCCCCCCCCCCCAAACACCCCAACCACCACCACCCCCACCCCCCCCCCCCCCACCCACTCACACACCCCCCCCCCCACCCACCCCCCCACCCCCCCCCCCAAACCACACCCCACAAACCCCCCACCCAACCCCCCCACCCCCCCCCAAACAAAACCACCCCCAACACACAACCCCAACCCACAACCCAAACACACCAACCCCACCAACACCACACACCAAACCCAAACCACCCACACCCCCCCCCCCACCCCCCAACCCCAAAACCCCCAACCCCCCCCCCCCCCACACCCCCCAAAACCAACCCCACCCCAAACCCCCCCCCCACAACACACAAACCCCCCAACCACCCCACCCCACCCCACCCCAAAACACCCCAAACCCAACCCCACCCCCACCCCACACACCCCACACCCCCCACCCACACCCCCCCAACCCCCCAACACCCCCCCCACCCCACCCACCCCCAACCAACACCCCCCCCCCCACCCCCCAACCCCACAAACCCACCAACCACAACACCACACCCCCCCACCCCCCCCCCCCCCCCCCACCCCCACACCCAAAACCCCCCACCCAACACCCCCCCCCCCCCCCACCCCCCCCAACCCCCCCCCCCCCACCCCCACACAACTCCCCCCAAAACCCAACACACAACCACCACCCCCCCACACCCACCACCCCACACCAAACCCCCCCACCCCCCCACCCCCCCCCCCCAAACACACCACCCAACAAAAAAATACCCCCCCAACCCCCCCAAACCCAAACACACACCAACCACCCCCCCAACCCCCCCCAACCCCCCCCCCCCCCAACCCAAACCCCCCCCCACCCACCACCCCCACCCCCAACACACCCAACACACCCCCCCCCCACCCCCAACCCCCCCCAAACACCCCCCACCAACCAAACCCACCAAAACAAACCAAAACACACCACCCCCCCCCCCACAACCACCCCCCCCCACACAACACCCACCCCCCCCACCCCCAACCCCCCACCCCCCCCCCACCCCCACCCCCCCCCCCACCCACCAACCCCCCCCCCCCACCCACCCAAACCCTCCCCCAACACACCCACCCCCACCCCACAAACCAACCCCCCCCCCACCAACCCACCCACACCCCCCCACCCAAAACCAACCCACAACCACACACCAACAACACCACCACAACAACACCACAAAAACCCCCAAAAACCAAAACCAACAAAAAACCCAAACCCACCAAACCCCCCCCAAAACCACACAAACCAACAAAACCAAACCCCCAAACCAAACACCCACCAACACAAACCCAACAACACACAACCAAACCAAACCCCCCACCAAACCCACACCCCCCCCCCCCACCCCCCCCCCCCACCCAACCCAACCCCACCCACACACACCACACACACACACACCCCCCACAACCACCCCCCCCCCCCCCCACAACCCCAAAAAAACCACAAAACAAAACCAAACAACCACAACCCACCCCCCCCCCCACCCCACCCACACCCCCCCCACCCACAACCCCCCCCCCCCACCCCCACCCACCACCCACCCACCAAACCCCCCCCCCCACCAACACCCACCCAACCCCACAACCCCCACACAAAACCCCCAACAAACCACACCCCAACCCAAACAACCACCACCACCCCCCAACCCACCCCCCAACACCACCCCACCCACACCACCCCCAACCCACCCACCACCAACCCCCCCCCCCCCCAAACCCCCACCCCCACCCCCAACCCCCCACCCCCCCCCCCCCCCCACACCCCCCAAACACAAACCCCACCCCCCCCCCCCCCAACCACCCCCCACCCAACCCCCCACAACCCACCCCCAACCCCCCAAACCCCCCAACCCCCCCACCCCCCCCACCCCACCCCCACACCCCCCAACCACACCCCACCCCCCACCCCCCACACCCCACAACCCAACCCCCCCCCACCCCACACCACCCCCAAACCCAACACCCCACCACCCCCCCACCACACCCCCAAACCCCCCCAACCCCCCCCCCCCCACAACACCACCACCCAACACACCCACACACCCCCAACCCACAAACCCCAACCACACCCCCCCCCCCACCCCCACACCCACCCCACACACACCCCCCCACCACCCCCCCCCCCCACC